CCCCGGTTTCTGTTTGCGTCATCACAACATACTGTTTCGGCCGTGTTTTTCGGTGAAAAAAATCTTTCGGCCGAAAACCGAAAATGCACTTTTGGGCCATTTTCGGCCGAAAATTTTCGGTGGCCGAATATTCGGTGCATCCCTGGTTAAAACTGTAGATAAGCTACCGGTAACTTTCAAGTTTGAATTAGCTAAATAAAACATCAAGTTTCGGCATGCCTTGAAAGTTAGATAGGATAACAGACTATTCTTCATTTCTTGTTTTCCGCACCTTGTTTTAATAAGTAAAGAAAGAAGATAGATTGTTTGCCATCATGTTATATATAAATAAAGAGACAGACAAACAAATAGATAATATACAAATATAAAATGAAGTGTATGTGACTAAATATGGTAAATATTGTTTATATATATATATATATATATATATATATATATATATATATATACTGTAGGCCTATATGAAATCATATTGTAGCACCGTCTCCCGACATGCTCCGCGGAAAATGTGTAAATGGCCTTTCGTTTGTATAATTGTAAATATTTGTGTTGTATTTCCAGTTGTCACCTGTATTCTTCGCTCATTCGCATCGGATTCTCTCATGTCTTTAGCCATTGTGTAAACTACCCACCATGTGTGTGCACCTTACTGGCGTCCGACCTCCATGCGTTTGCCGATAATTGTGGCGGTGTGGGAAGAATGAACATTTTGTTTCTAGTTTTTTAGTTAGGTTTTTAATCACTTAATACTGACATGTTGATATTTTGGTTTACCAAGGACCACAGCATTACAAAAGTTGTGATAATCGTTTTTCCAGTAACCAGGTTCAATGTACTTGTTTTTAATAAGAGTAAAATTAGATTATTTTATGTTCGAGTAACTTAACTTCTGCAAATGCAATATTGAGACACAGTTATAGGTCACATAGCGCTGGTGTTCTGGAAAATAGATGGGTGTGAAAATTTCCTAATAGGGTGCGAAAGATTACAGAGGGCCAGAGGAACACACTGAATTTGGTTTGATGTTGATTGGCTTAAAAATTAAGGAGGTATTACAATTTATCCAACAGCAATATTGATAGACGGATATAGGACACATACTGTACAAGTGGTGTTATGGTGATTGACATTGCACTTTCAAGACGGTCCCTAAGTTTTCCGGCAGTTTTGTGTGAGCAGAAGGATACTTCCGTCTTGCTTTGTATTTTTCATTCATATTGCTGGAGAATGTGGAGCTAACTAAAAGTGTGAAATATTCTCCTCGTTTAACTTCACAAGTGGAGCCTAATCTGAAAAGAATTACCGTCATGATCCCTAAGATATTGCAGTTTAGATGTCAGTAAATGAAGTGAATATCGAACATAAAACCAACTTCACCGCGGTAATAAAGGCAGGGTACAACACGTACTCGGTAAACATGGTTATTAACAATATTAAGCCAAAATCAGTCCCATTGTTTTTGTAAAAGAAAATGAAACTCAAACTATTAAGAATCCTTTTGTAACTTCAGTGGATCCACACCCTATATAATAACTACATGAAGTCTGAATTTTCCCACCCCGTTGCAGGCCTGAGTCGTGGCTAGCGTACGTTGAGGCCTATAAATCAAAATGCATTGGCCGCTTCACTCTCCCAAGCGCTGTAAACTCAAAACATAAATAAAAGTTACCTCAGACCAACGTTGCAAACCAACTTCACTTCACGATGTCCTCGTCCGAATGCGGTGGCTCTGGTCTCCCTCCTCCACTTTCGCAGCCCTGGCAGTACTGTATATTACACTCGGCAATTCGCGTAGATAGTGACAACTCCAACCGTCACCGGCACGAGCACAGTCCGCGCGAACAAATTCGCGTTGGCTAATTCTAGACTGATTACTTAACTAAAACAAAATAAATTCCGCTGTAATCGGTATTGTTCATACGCGAACTAAACTTATACCTTCAAATAATTACACTAAAATAAATACCAAATACATGGTAGCTTCCCATAAGACACAACAGCAGGATCTCGGCCATTTGTCTCTGCTCTCCCACACATCACTCTACTGTTCATGTCTCCCTCTCTCGCTTTTGGACCCGCTCCCCGAAGACAACGAAAGGTCTAATCACCATCCATCAAACAATTTAACCAATTACATGTTAAAACAAAATAAACCCACGATCAGCGGTCATTGTTGACACACCACAGCACAACAACGAAATGTGTCCTCTGCATTTAACCCATATGTGACGTCGTGACATAGCATACAGTATGTGTCCTTGTACAGTATGTGTCCTATATCCAGGGAGCAGTACCTTGCTCAGGGCACCTCAGTGGTGCGTTGCTGGTCGGGGATTCAAAATCTTTCAATTACAAGTGCACTTCCCTTACCATTAAGCCACCACTGCCCACAAAAACAAAAGGAGACCACGTTCCCGGGTGGGTCTGAACCATCAATCTCTAGATTAACAGCCAAGCGCATTAACCAATTGCGCCACAGAGATTACGTTTCAAACAATGTCTCAAACAAATAGTCTATTTAATATTTTTAAAGAAACAGTATGTTTTAACCATTTAAAAAAAACATATCTCCCGTAATAAACAAATAATGTAACTTATTTAATTACACTCAATGTAAATGCATAAAGATGTATACCAATCTGCATTAAATCTTTATCCGGGTTACATACTAAGTATAATTATAAAAGCGTTTCTTAAGTGTCAAAGGCTTTTATTGACAATTACATTAAGTTTAAGTCAATACTTGCGGTGTTGGTCCTTCTTTTTCAAGACCTCTTGAAAATTGCTGTCAATCAACTTTTGGGCCAAATCCTGACTGACGGAAGCCCATTCTGGCATAATCAATGCTTGGAGTTAGTCAGAATTTGTGGGTTTTTGTTTGTCCACCTGCCTCTTGAAGATTGACCACAACTTCTCAATGGGATTAAGGTTTAGGGAGTTTCCTGGCCATGGACCCAAAATGTTGATTTTTTTTCCCCCCGAGCCACTTACGTAGTTATCACTTTCGCCTTACAGCATATTGCTCCATTATGCTAGAAAAGTCATTGTTTGAAACCAAATTGTTTTTGAATAATTGGGAGAAGTTACTCTCAGAGGATGTTTTGG